CTCAAGGCCTGGTGGGCCAGGATGTGCTCCACTCTCTCCTCCTCCCCCTTCATCTGCTTCGTGTGCTCTGATCAGATATGTCCCTCACCCGGAGCTGTAGATTCAATGCCGTCCTTCGAAATAAATTCTTCTGAGGGGAGGGGCAGGCATCCACTTAGTATTTGGTACTGGGGCCAGCCCCCCAGACCTCTCCACTGGTTCCCTCTTCCACGCCGGCATGTTGCGTTCACATCTTGGAGCACTGGTTGAAGTCTAGTTAGTCCCTCTTTCCCTGTGGAGATATAAACAATACCCTCCCCTGCATCCAGCCTATCTTATTTAGACAGACCTGTGGAGATAAAAACGTGCACCAAAACAAGACAGAGTAAAACCAAGCAGTAATATACAAACAAAAACAAACCAATGACAAAACAAAACACAAGAAAGAAAAGCTTGTAGTTAGTTCAAGGATTATTTGTTGGCCTTTAGGAGTGTTTTCCAGTCCAGTCTGTTGGGGCACCAAGCCCTGGCCCCAAAGTCCACCTTCAGCATTCCCTGGGGACCTCGCCGCTCTCCGTTCCCTTGCTGTTCTGTTGCATCCCCTTTGTGTTTTGCCTCGGTGTGGTGGGATCAGATCGGGCGCAATTCCCACACTGTGTCTCCGGTGTGGTCCCAACATGATCTTTTAAAAATGTCTTCATACTGCTCATTCAAGATTATGTCAAAACTTCTGAAAATCTTGGTTGCATCTAAATATAAATATTATAATTATAGAAATTGTTTCAAATAAATATTTCTTGTCAGTTTTAAAGAAATTTAGAGTTAAGTTGAATGATATACTAATAACTAGTTACTAATAATAAATTATAAAAGGCAAGAGGAATTGTCTTTTATCTTTTATATTCATCTGCGATTACAATTTATTAGTTAGCCCTGGGCCTCATTCTAAGGCATTCCTTTTTATATTTTTGCTGTAACATTATTTAGAGCTTAAAAAAATTGTATGGCTAACTAAATATTATCTATTAAATCAAGTTCCCAAACTTTTCCTGGTCTGCATCAAACTTCATGATTCTCCTCTGTTCTATCTTCACTTTTGACTTCTCAGCTTTCTCCTTCCTGGTCCTGTCTGTTCCCTATCCTATAGTCAGTTCTAATACATTCTGTCCCATAAGAGGTTTTCACATTAGGATACCTATGCCAGGTCTCATGTTGTTCTTTGCCTAGATGGCTCTCAACCTTCCTAATGCTGCAACCCTTTAATACAGTTTCTTATGTTGTGGTGACCCCAACCATAATATTATTTTTGATGCTACTTCATCACTGTCATTTTGCTGCTGTTATGAATCGGGTGACCCCTGTGAAAGGGTCATTTGACCCCCAAAGGGGTTGCGACCCACAGGTTGAGAACCTCTGGCCTAGACCAGGAGCCCATCAGTACTACCACTATCATTGCCGTGCTTGCGTTTTTCATCTCTCTCCCTAAGTTAGCCTTCCTCAACGTCTCCTTCCAGGAAGTCATCTCAGATTCTGCAGAGAGAACTCATCTCTCACCATTTTATGTCCTCAGGATTGCTGTCATCCTTTGACAGTTGTTCTCGGAGGTT